GAATGATAAATTAGTATGTTTTAGACCACATATACACAAACAAATATGGCATTTAAATACTTATTTGCCCAGCATAAAATTCAATAATTTATATTCATGTACATCATATTAACACTTTTATGTTTAAATTTATGATAACTGTTTGGGTTTAGTTTTACATTTTATATGGTTACAGGGGTTTGTAATGTTTATATTTCTATACATATGCACTGTTGCATATTCTTTAACAGTTGAGTGCAGTTTCATACTGGAGAAAACAAAAATCTTAATTTAAAGTTTACTTACTAGCCTAGCTTTCATCTTCTCAAGAAGAATACATAGTGGCATTCCAGCTAGTCAGTGAGCCTTTAGATTCACTTGTGAGTGTTTTTAAATAATTTATATTATATGTGGATTTTTTGAATATTTGTGCATGCTGAAATATGTTATATTTTATTTTTGCATTGTATTAAGGCAATGGCACATTCTTTTTTTTATTAATTTAATTAACTAACTAACTATATATTATACAATCATATTGTTTGGTAGCAGCATGAGGTGGATTCATTTATTTGTTTTTTGTCATAGTTAGTCCTCTGTACAAACAGGGTTTAGAAAGATTTTTTGCATTTTCGTCATTCAACCTGAGACTCAAAACCATGTTGCCTAACAATCTATCTATCTAATTTATCTATCTAATTATCTTCATGTACACGAGGCTGCACAAATGTCCAATGATCATAACCTCTTTCCCTCATAAATATCCATAATCACACAGCTTTTGAATACTAACAGTGAAGGTGGACCGCACTGAAACAACATTACCATACTGTAGCGATGTATATTAACATACAGTGCTGTAATTTATTCTCTCAGGAACATATAAGTTGAGGAGAAACACAATAGCCCGCATTCATCAAATGAATGTATATGCAAAGGTTTTTAAAGATTAAAAAACTTTTCTGAAGGCCCTGTTGTTTTTTTCTTGATATTTGTGGTTGTTTACTTCACACTGATCACCAGCTGAAGGTCAGAGTTTTTACATTGTTTTGTTTTGCATTACATCATTGCTTAAATTAGCAGCACAACAATTTAATTAAAACAAAATGTGAATACGAAAACCTATACCACACTGCATACCGTACAACAAATAAATTAAATGGATTTGAGAAATGAAAAGCCACATTTCATTTCAGCCTGCTCTCCATTTCCCACCTGTTTCTATCAGGTATTATGCTGCATGGCCAGAAGTATGTGGACACCCCTGCATTAGCCATATATATGATATAGCTGAACATATATAACAGCTTTCAATCTTGGGAAGGTTTTCCAAGATTATTATTATTATTATTGTTGTTGTCATCATCATCATCATTATCATCATCATCATCATTATTTTTAAAGAACTGGAGCGACAGTAGATTTCCATCAGCTTATAAGGAGTAAATTTGGTAACTGAGAATAGATGCAGAGAATTAAAAGACATTAGTGTGTTTTTCAGCAAAGTGATGGAGATTATGATCCATTTCACTTACTGTAGCACTGCCTAATGGAGAGAGAGAGAGAGAGAGAGAGAGAGAGAGAGAGCCTCTCCTTTAACCTTTCCCCTCCTTTTAGAGCCACCCTGAAAACTAAGCTGAGATGCAGTAGAAGAAACTAGCATGACTCAAACGCATCATCATAGGCCTAGATCAGTAAACAACAAGCAACAAATTTTTATCTTTTGCTTTCTCTTTGCTGTTTAGGGGAATATTTTGTGTATTTCTATGGTGATGTGGTTTGAATTTTATAAACAAAAGTTATATAATAACTGAGTAATGATTTGAGCATAAAGGAAATATAAACCAAATTGAATTTTTTAGTAAATGCTGGAACATGTGTGTTTATCTACTTCCGCATGAACGCATTTATGTATTTGAGTGTGTATAATGCATTCATGTCTGTGTATATGTCTCTCGCCCCGCTCTCTCTCCTGCATCAGTCTACCACCTGTTTTCCCAGAGTTATGACCTCAGCCTGCAGGCGACTCTGCCTAACATTGCCAAACTACATACAGCTGTGTGTGTGTGTGTGTGTGAAAGAGAGAGACAGAGGGACAACCAGAGAGAGAGAGAAAGAGAGACAGAGAGAGAAAAGGGGAGAGAGAGAGAGAAAAGGGGGGAGAGAGAGAGAGAGAGAGAGAGAGAGACATCATGACAGGAAGATGAAAACAAAAGTGACAGAAAATATGTAATAAAGTCATTTGTAATGAAATGTGTGTGTTTACATGGAGTAAAATAGAAATAATTATAGAAAAGAACATATAGAAAGAAAGAAAATAACTGTTAAGGAAGTGCAGGAAAGTTAGGGAAAGGAAACTTGAAAAAGAAAAGAAAGAAAGATAATAATGACCAAAAAAGGGAGGAAAGAGAAGGAAATACTAACCTCGTGAAAGAGGTGGTAGGATGATAATGACAAAAAAGACAGGAAGAGGAGTAAAAGAGAGACTGGGAGAGTGACATAGAAAGCTAGAAGGAGAGAGAGGGAGAGCGAAACAGTTCAAACACAATAGCTTCATTTTTAGACATGACATCACTCCTTCCTCTCACTATTTCCCACTCATTTCTTTTTTCAGTTCAGTCTCTTTCCCTTCTCTGGGTTCAAACGTCTTGTTTACACTGTACACACACACACGTTTGTACACACTTGCTACACACATTATACACTCAATTTAATACTAATTGAAATGTGTCCATAACATTGAGTATTAAAATACTGCAAAGTATTTAAAATGGGCACTAAATGTCAGATGCATGATCTTGTTTACTTTTTCTTGTAATCAGACATTTGATGATTTTGAAGATTTTGTTATTTTTTTTTTTGATTCCTATATTCAGGTGATTATACACAAATAAAAAACATACCTATGGAAATTATATTTGATTTCTACCAATAGATCTCTTCAATGTTCACACTGGATCTTTAAAAGATACTTTTAAATGAGTATTTAAATGAGGATAAATACTTTCTCCAGCTCCTCCACTTTAAAACTACTCTACAGAGCTGAGTCCCCACAATGTGAGTGGGTTATCAGAATTGGGTCCCCCAATGTTACATTAACCAGCTCATACACTCATTTACAAGGCAGTGAGTGTGTTTGTGTGTGTTGTTATAGGGTTTCTTCATAGCTGGGGGGTTAGTTGTGCAGAGCTATGCCATGAACAGTGTGAGTGTTTTTTCACAAGGTAAAGTAGTTTACCTCGCTGACGTGATGGAGGTCACAAACCACAGTAAAAGCTGGTCGCCTGTAGACCTTTTCAGCTCACAGTGGCCGTTTCTATCCCTCCCTGCAATATTTAAAACTGATCCGCTAACTAAATAATGCATGTCCATATCTAGTTGATTAGGCCTGTTTCATTGAAGCATAGCACAAATAATGACGATCCGCTAACTTTTGCATTTCCCATAACATCTTCTTTACAATAAAAGCACCCCACCGAGGGCAAGATTCAGCAGGAAAGGTTCAGTTTGCATCAGCAGTAACTTAGCCCAATAGGGCTGAAAGTGATCGTTAAACAATAAAAATAAGGCTGACATGCTTTCTTTCCAACACAGACGCACATTGGTTTAGCTGCCAAGGACCCAGCTAAGAGAAAGAGACCATCACAGGTTGGCCCTCCTACCAAGCAGGACCACAGCAGCGCAGCTATCCCCTGCTGCAAGGCTCTAGTGGTGCATGTCATCAGGGTTTGGCTTGGCACGGCACGGTTAAAGGGGACCAACCCGGGCCCATGGAAAACCCTATTATAAAGCTGCTGTGTTTTCAGTCTTAATGAGTCTGTTTTTCTATCAGCCAATAATCCAGAGGCTGAATAAACACACACACGGGTCCTAATGACAACACAAGGAGCAATTTATGAGCTTCTGTGTGTGTGTGTATTTTTACAGAGTCCATAAGTAAACAGTGTTTTTCAGCACATATCCTTCACTTCACTTTATTCTCCCTTTCCACTGCTTGCATATGTATAAAAACAAGTCAGAAATGTATTTGGAATCATTTCAAGATTAAACTGAAAAGGAGTTTGTAAAAATATTACCCTAAAGAAGAAGTTAACTTTTTGAAGTTTTCTTGGGCTGAACCGCACGTCACTTCATAAAGCCAAACGCCAAATTTGCCTCTGGGGACGCCCAAAGAGCAGAAAAGTGTTTAAAAGCACCTCCAGATGAAACTGAAAAGTAGTTTGCCAGCATTTCCCTTAAAATGTGAGCATTTTCTTTACCACCCTGTTCTCTGTTCCCTTCTTTCCACTTTTGTCAACTCTTGGCAATGCGTCCCACAACTTTAATTTACTGATAAAACCAAACAGGAATTTCTTTATGTACACAGTTTAAAAGCGGAAATGGGTTCTGCTAGAACTTTTATCAACAGCAAAGTAAGCAGTTGTTTTCTTAAGCTTCAAATAACTTATTGACATTATTTAGATCCCCTAAACCTAATATTTCCTTCAGTGGGATGTTCAAATCACTCTGTATCCAACTATAGCTGCAGCTGACTCCCCAAAAAAAGTTGGTCTCTGTAGCTGCTAGATGTTCCACGTTCTTCAACAGCTAGTATCTAACTGCTCTCTGGTGCTGGGCAGGTAGTGTTTGTCTGCCTGTTGCTGATGGAAACAACATTAACGAGATCTGGCCCATACAGTAAACGTGTTATAAAGCTAAAACTGAGCTGAAAGAGGCTAAAAACCTAGAGCGCTGCAGAGCTGAGCATCATTTGTTGGTGGGTTCAGGACTGTGACTGACAGCGTTCACATTACATTTCATTCATTGTGCGAGATTGAGGAAGCAGAAAAATGCAACAAAAATACACAAGCAAGAAGGAAACCTCTAGGAGGGAGAGACACAGGGGGGATGGGGAGAGAGAGAGAGAGA